GTCGATTCCGTAGCGACTTGAGCAGCTGTTGTCTTTCCCATTCCTTTTGAGTCATATGTGAGGGCTTTTGTTCCTTTTCATCGGCGTGCATCGCCTTGTTGTACGGATCATCTTCTGCAGTCAAAAACCCACCCTTTGTGTCTGCCATCTTACTGAAATCATAGTCGACGTACTTGGCAAAGTTGCGCGCGGGTTGGATGGCCTCGAGAGGACGATTATCGATCTCGTTTCTGGCATCGCGGCTTGTGGGAGGTACAGAAGTCTGAGCGAAAGTGGCAAAGGAGCGCTTCTGACCTGCGCTGGTAGGAGAATCTGATCGATTAAGACTCGCTGTGGCTGCGGCCTCCGCCTCTCGTTGTTCACGCAACGCCTTTGCTTTCAGGCGGTTTATCTCTAGGCGCCTCACTTGTTCTGGGGTCAGCGGGGACTTTGGCCCGGCCTCAGCCTGGGGTGTGGGAGTCGAGGGCCGCGAAGCCATGAGTGCGACGAGGGTGAGATGTGAACACCAGAATAAAAAATGGATGACTGGGAATATACGAGTATCACCTAGGCTGACTTGCGGGGAGGCTGCGCTTCCTGTTCCTGACGAGCCACAACTTGGCGGCGCCACTCGGTGAAGCCGCCTCCGTTCTCGCCAGGGCCGCTTCTCCAAAAAGTTCTTTGTTCCCCCCTCCTCCCACCGACTTGTTGATCAAACCAAAAAATCAAGTCGGCCGCTCAAAATGGCGACGAAGACAACGCGAGCAGAGTTCGAAAAGGTCTTTCCCTCGCTGGTCGAGGATCTGCTGGGGGAATGTCGCAAGTTCAATCTCCCAGCAAATGCTTTGCAATGGTTCGAAAAGGTACCTACCTACACCGAATTCCTCGCATTGGGGCGCTCTCAAGGCTAATTCCTCCTATCAGTCTCTCAATGTGAACACCCCCACGGGGAAGCTGAACAGAGGCATGTCAGTACCAGACACTGCCATTCAGCTCCTCGGGAGGCCCTTGTCCCCTCAGGAATTCAAAGATCTCGCAACCTTGGGATGGCTCACCGAGTTACTGCAAGCATTCTTCCTCGTGAGCGACGATATCATGGACGCCAGCATAACCCGTCGCGGAGAACCGTGCTGGTACCGCCATCCAGGGGTGGGAATGATCGCCATCAACGATGCCTTCATGCTCGAGTCCTCTATCTACCTCATTCTGAAGAAACACTTCCGCAGCCACGCCGCCTACATTGACCTGGTCGAGCTCTTTCACGAAGTCACTTGGCAGACAGAATTGGGCCAGTTGTGCGATTTGATCACTGCACCAGAAGACCAGGTCGATCTGAATAACTTCTCCATGACCAAGTACACCTTCATCGTCATCTACAAGACCGCGTACTACTCCTTCTACCTCCCTGTGGCTTTGGCCCTGCACTATCTTGGCCTCGCCACTCCCAAGAACTTGAAACAAGCACATGACATTCTCATCCCACTAGGCGAATACTTCCAAGTCCAAGACGACTATTTGGACGCGTTTGGCGATCCCTCGGTCATCGGCAAGATTGGCACAGACATCAAGGATAACAAGTGTGGGTGGTTGGTCAATCAAGCACTGCTGATTTGCACACCGGAGCAAAGAAAGCTGCTGGACGAGAATTACGGGCAGAAGGATGATGCAAAGGAGGCAAAGGTGAAGGAGTTGTACAACGAGCTACAACTAGAGAAGAGATATCAAGACTACGAGGAGAAGCGTGTTGGAGAGCTGCGTGGAATGATCGCGGCCGTGGATGAGAGCGAGGGCCTGAAGAAAGGTGTGTTTGATGCATACCTGGCAAAGATCTATAAGAGGAGCAAATGATTTCGGCGCGTGATGACCCGGAAAGGCTTTGATGAATAGATGGGAGTTCTCGAGACGAAGAGACGCTGGTTAGAAAGTGCAGTCTTTAATCGTCCTCCTTCAGCGCGGATCGATCCACACTTCGTGCTCCATTGATCTAAAAGACATACTTCCATCCCACATTGCCCCTTCACTGGCAGGGAAGTATCCCCTTTCACACCGGTCATACTGCACTTTCGGCCTCGTGCGATAGAATTCGTCGAATCGCGAATCCAACGCGTCGCGGAGGCTGTGCACGCTGCCGGCTGGATGGAGGGCCGACCATGGGTATCGACACTCGTCCACTTGGCAAGTTTTGAGCACCAGGAGAAGAGCATCGAGGCGGGACAAGAGGTACGATATTGTGGTGGTGACGTTGATACTCGAGAGGATTTGTTCGGTAGTTGCAAGTGATGTGGCAGAAGACGGTCGGTCACTGAATCCTGCAGCAGGCATAGCCAGATTATAAGATCTGGTTCTTTCAACGTAGATATTGTCCATTTGCCACGGATCTTTAGTCATGTCGTACAGCTCATGCTCGTTGCTACACCACACGGTATAGAGTAGATCATAGCCGTCACCAATGACCCGGAGTGCCTTGTAGGTATGATTGGGATAGAGGACGAAGCCATGTTCTCCCTCCGACATGATGATCCCCCACATTTCTACGTTGACGTGCTCTTGAGGCCATGCTTGCTCCGAATGCAGCGAGTCCAATAGGTGGAACGGTATCACACTGCCATCCAGTTTGTATTGTGCTATCTGTGCATCCGCAACACCTGCGAGACTCAGGAATGTGGGCGCCAGGTCGATGTGCGATGTGACGATTTCCGTAAGATGGCCCTCCGGCACACCAGGTCCTCGTATGATCAACGGAATATTTATGTCTTCCTCAAATGCACACTGCTTCCCGGGCTGCCTTCGATGTTGTCCGATGCTATAGCCATTGTCAGTCGAGAAGAAAAGATAGGTATTCTCCAACATGTCAGCTTGTTCCAAGTGGTCCACAACGCCACCAATCATTTCATCCACAGCCTGCAGTGCACGAAGGCGGTTGCGGTACCACTCATCGTTGTAATCGAGGTTCGATTGATTCTGCTTGGCTAAGGTGAGGATCCAGGAAGCACCACTCGACACATCGGGGTTGAAGTTGGGGGTTCGAGGGACTCTTGTGTCCTGGAAGAGACTTCTGTGGCGCGGGGCAGGTCGAGGCATAGATTGCTCTGCCGTGTTGTTGTTGAAATGGACATTACTGTGCGGAGCTGTTGGCGCGATGGTGAGGAAAAAGGGTCGATCCGCCTCAATTGCATCGTTGAGAAAGCCAAATGCCTTCTGCGCCATCACATCCGTGGAGTATTCACCTTGATAGCTTGTAGGAGGATCCTTGTTCCGTTGAAAAGTGGCATTGTAATACTCGTACGTGTAGGGGTCAAGTAGGAAATCGGAACCAGTCCATCCTGCTGCATGCGGCTTGTTGTAGTTGGACGTGCTCTGAGCATTGAACAGCTTGCCCACATAATAGGTATCATAACCAGCTTCCTGAAGCCAAATAGGCAAGTATGCGTCGTTGAAGCCCTGGCTGACAAACTTTGGATATCCACCTGCTTTTGGTGAGTCTTATGCGCGACGTCAAAGATGAGAAAGGACAGGATTGACCCCAGGGAGGATGTAAGTCGGTTACATTGGTGTTATGCGCAGCCTTGCCAGTCCACATGCTGACTCTGGATGGACAACACAAAGCCACTGTGCAGTAATGTCTTTGGAAGGAAGTCCCACGGTCACCCACGTGCTGTTTAAGAAGGGGCATATACGAGAGGGAGTCCATATGGAGGTCTTGATCATCGGTCAAAATGAAGATGAGGTTCGGCTTTCTGGCATACTGCGCAATGGGTTGCTGCTTCAAGCTATTAGCAATGCTATCCCACGACGCTAGCATCAAGCACCAGATCAGTGTCCATCGTGAGACGCTCCTCTCCGCCATGATACTCGGTGTTCACGGACAAAAGGGTTGCTGTCATAGAGGGCAGCGTAACATCTCGTCCGCATAGAACGATCGCTTCAATCCTCCGAGATGTGCTGGGAAACTTGAAGACTGAGGTCCTTTGGGCGGAGATGCAACCGAGAGGGTGAGCGATATGATTGGAGCTATTGTGCCGAGTAGAGCAAATCCGTCAGCATAGCAACACAACCATCTCACATTTTTTCCAAGATGTTGGGGTGTTTGAGAAAGAATGGGCCTCGCAGGCGAGGAGGCGAGACAGAATGCGGGGCAAAAAGCTCCTGCAAGAAGGTTGGGGGGAGCAATTTCCCTCAATCAGAGGCGGCATAGGGGCTGGAGAGTGGATTAGTGGGCATCGAGTGGGCGCCCACAGATGTGGCCAGGGGAGTCAGTGGTACTGCTGGGCCTCGATAGCCCCGGCTTTGGGCCTAACAGCTGGGCTGTCTAGGCCTTGCTAGGCCCAATCTGGGAGGCCGTAACCCTAAATGACGTGCAATCCGTCATTGTGCATTTCCCACAGGTGCCAGGTGCGGTCGCCGTGCCAAAGAGAGCTTCAACCCACCGTTCAAAAAGTAATAGTCGTATGATTCTCCTCAATGCCGTCATGTCCCTACCATTATCCCATCTCTTGAAAGTGACAAGCAGCATAATTTTCCACCCAACCTTTGTTGTCCTCACATTGGATTTCTGTGCCTGCTGTCACCTGGAATAAACTTCAGAAAAGCTGTACTGTTGCTGGAATTTCAGTTTCGATAAAAAGCCACGAACTGGATCCTTTTGCTTCCCTTGTCTTGCAGTGGAGCTTCCCTACTTTCATCCACACACGCCCTGCCCCCAGAGATCGCTTGCTGTGGTGCCATCGTCCCAGCCTGCCTCAATTTCTTTTCAACAGTTGCCTTCGTAACGCCATTCACGGATTGCCATCTCCTGTATTTCTTCTTGCCAGCGGGAATTGTTGACTCGAGCTTATCACGAGAGCTCAGCAACCCCCTCACCTTCACCTTTCAACCTCTTACCCTCCTATCGTTAAGCTGTGATTCCTACCTGCAAGCTTCCGCAGGCTGTGGGGTAAGCTCTCGTCTGCATTTTCCGCCCAATCGATAAACACCACGGACCTTGTTCTGTCAACAAAGGCACACGAAACAGGACCGACAACATGAACGGCGAAACGGAAAAGAAGAGGGATATTAAAAACCATCTGCTCTTCGAAGTTGCAACCGAGGTTGCCAATCGAGGTACGGTCACCAGCCAATCTGTTTACATGACGCATGTGCTAATCCAGAGCAGTGGGTGGCATCTACTCAGTGCTCAAGTCTAAAGCGCCCGTGACAACAGCAGAATATGGCGACCGGTATACGCTCATCGGTCCTCTCAACAAGAACTCGGTAAGCAGGACGAAAATTGAATGCAGGCATGAGCTAACCGTTGCAGGCCGCAGTTGAAGTTGAAACCCTGGATCCGCCACCGGGCCCTCTTCGAGATACCATTTCATCTATGCAGGAACGCGGGATCGAGCTCATGTACGGCCGTTGGCTTATCGAAGGCGCTCCGAGGGTACTCCTCATCAATACTGGGACTGGTTACCGGTGGTTGGATGAATGGAAAGGTGACCTATGGTCCGCCGCTGGTATCCCTTCTCCTGCCGGAGATCATGAGACAAATGAAGCCATTGTGTTTGGATATTTGGTGGCATGGTTTTTGGGTGAAGTAAGTGCTTGAGATGGCGCTAATCTATGCTATCGCTGACGATGATCCAGTTTATCGCTCGCGAGACTGACCGCGCAGTCATTGCCCACTTCCACGAATGGCTCGCCGGGGTCGCCCTACCATTGACCAAGAAACGTCAGATGGACCTGACCACCATCTTCACCACACACGCCACCCTCCTCGGTCGATACCTCTGCGCCGGCTCAGTCGACTTTTACAATAACCTACAATTCTTTGATGTGGACGCAGAGGCAGGAAAACGTGGAATTTACCATCGATACTGCATTGAACGAGCATCAGCTCACTCTGCCGACGTCTTCACGACTGTCTCCCACATCACCGCCTTTGAGAGCGAGCATCTGTTGAAGCGGAAACCTGACGGGTCCTCCCCAATGGTCTGAATGTTAAGAAATTCTCCGCTGTCCACGAGTTCCAAAACCTCCACTCGGTACAGAAAGAAAAGATCCACGAGTTCGTACGGGGACACTTCTATGGCTGTCTGGACTTTGACCTGGAGAACACGCTTTACTACTTCACTGCGGGTCGATACGAATATCGGAATAAGGGTGTGGATATGTTCATTGAATCGCTGGCGAGACTGAACTATCGCATGCAGAGCGCAGGCAGCAAGACAACAATTGTGGCATTTTTGATCATGCCAGCGCAGACAACATCCCTCTCGGTCGAGTCGCTCAAAGGTCAAGCTGTGACAAAGTCTTTAGCCGACACTGTTTCCAACATTCAGCATGGAATTGGTCGAAGGTTGTTCGAAAGGGCTGTCCACTGGAAGGAGGGAGATCCAATGCCTGACGACAAGGAGCTCATCACTCCAGCTGATCGGGTTTTGCTTAGACGGCGACTCTTTGCCATGAAACGCCACGGTCTTCCGCCCATTGTCACCCACAACATGGTTAATGATTCTGAGGATCCAGTCCTGAATCAACTGCGCCGCGTCCAACTCTTCAATAACACACACGACCGTGTCAAAGTTGTCTTCCATCCAGAGTTCTTGAACTCTGCGAACCCAGTTTTGTCCCTGGACTATGACGACTTTGTTCGAGGTACTCACCTCGGCGTCTTTGCTTCCTATTATGAACCCTGGGGTTATACACCTGTAAGTACTAGCTCATATACTTGTGAACAATCGACGCTAATTGTTCAACAGGCGGAATGTACAGTCATGGGAGTGCCGTCAATTACCACTAACCTCTCTGGCTTCGGTTGTTATATGGAGGTAAGTGCTCAGGAAAAGTAGGAGCATCGTTACAGACTCAACTACTCGAACATGTGCCTCTACTTATCGGCGACTGCGGCTAATATTTGATCCAGGAGCTTATCGAGAACTCCTCGGACTACGGGATCTACATTGTAGATCGTCGTACTAAGGGTGTGGACGAATCAGTCAACCAACTGACCGACTACATGTTCGAATTCGCCAATAAATCCCGGAGGCAACGGATTAATCAGCGAAATCGCACCGAGCGCCTCAGCGATCTTCTGGACTGGAAACGAATGGGCATGGAATATGTCAAGGCTCGACAGCTTGCCTTACGCCGCGCATATCCTGCTTCCTTCACGGACGCCGACGAGTTCGATGATATCATCGGCGGCACTGAACAGAAGATCTCTCGACCACTCTCTGTGCCAGGATCGCCTCGGGATCGAACTGGTATGATGACACCAGGTGATTTCGCTTCATTGCAAGAGGGCAAAGAGGGTCTAAGCACGGAAGATTACATCGCATGGAGGTTGCCGTAAGTTGGCTGCCTTGATACGTCTTGAACATGGACTGACCTATATCACAGTGAAGAAGAGGAGCCTGATGACTACCCGTTCCCATTGACGCTGAAGATGAAGAAGAGCTCTGGGCCCAACTCTCCGGCACCCCTCGTGGGGCCTGTAAACGGCCAGTAACCAACTCTCCCACAGTTTTGAGGACACAGTAGACAGAATGAAGGGTTGGATACCCAGTCTGATCGACGATAGCACAAGATTTCGGATCAGGTGGAGGAATGAGAGCATCCTTTGGCACGAGGCCTGGAGGATAGCGACGAAAGAGAAGAAGTTAATAATTTGAGGCCAGGGACATTTGCATTTTTCTGCCGGAAGCGTTATTGAGATGATCGGTCTTATGGAGTGATGACCGTCTACTGTCATCATATACGGTTACTGTCTGCCTCTCTACAACTCTCATCCAACACTGGGATACTCCATCTTCCTCATAGCAGCCATTCAATCAAGCAATCCATCAGATCATCCGTCCTACTATCCTTCCATCAAGTCACCCATCCCACTAGCCATCCATCATCCATCATCTCCTCTATCGGTCCGTCCTGCATCAGATCCTCCATATCACTACCGTTCCTGGACGTCGATGAGCCAAGTCAACCTCCTCTTTACCTATCCCATCATATCCTCCATCAGTCTATCCATGCTGTTGGAATCGGATCCAACGTACTGCTATCCATCGATCCATCTTGCTGTACACCCTCCAGATCCATCCATCATTGTCGCCATCGTTCTGTCAACCAGTCCATTGTCGAATCGTCCGTTCCTCTGCTTGTGCATTGTTCCACCTGATATACTCTGCATCGACTCATCGATCCAGCCATCGATCATCCATCTGCTTCTATTCCCGTGGTCGTCACCGATCCTTTTGTTCTTCCATACAGCCATTCATCGACCCATCAGTCCATCGACCACTCAGCACCATATCTGTCTATCTGTCTATCTGTCTGTCATCAAGTCATCTATCCTTCTAGCTATACATCCATGTATGTATCCACGGACCAATCACATCACACCCTCATCAATCGAGTAGCGCTTTAAGTACCATATTCCTCCTCAATATATAGTGCGTCTATGCGACGCCTGAGGTACCTCGATTCGAGCCACCAAACTCATACTTCGGTAACAAACGAGGCACATCATTCCATCCATACCGTACTGCTCATACCACCTCTCTGGGTACAGTCCTCTCACCAATGAACCCTGCCAGGAGTCGCTGCGATACGCAGTTCGTCAGCTCCAGCTCGGAGCGATAGGGTCCCCGGCGGCGAACGAATCGGTGTTCAGCCTCCTGGGAAGGCCAAACGGATTTCCCAGAACTTCAATCGCATGCTGCATGGCCGGTATAGCGGCTGTGCGGATCGGCGGCGGCAACGCACTGGGTTCGCCGGTGATGCCTTGGTATTGCTGAGCTCCTGGGGACCACCCTCGCATGCCTGCCGTGGTGGGTGGACTGGTGGCAGCATCCGCATGTGGATTTTCGAGTAGATCGTAGATTCCGCTCTTCGGTCGACTGCTGGATTCGGTACTAGCTAGTCGCTGAAGATCCTGGTGCAGTGGTCGGACGATCTGGAGCAACGAGTTTGCCACACGGTCCACAACACTGCAACTGGCGAGCATATTAATGCATTCCTGGGACCCAGAGAGGTAGACCTGAACACTATCTCTCTGATCGTATAAGAGTCGCTGAGCGGCCGCGAAGAGGAGAACGCTGCAGGCGCTAAATGCCTGACCACTGGCAGGATCAAGGGAAAAGAAGGTATTAGCCCTCATCTTTTCTGGTTTCTGCAGATATTCAGTTCCTTTTGATATCTGGGGCTGGGAAAACTTACACGCAGAGCCAACAGGTGCGACGCTTTTGTTTCGTGTACCCAAGCACGTCGAAGAGATGAACACACAGTTCCGCAGCCTCGACACACTCTCTTTGAATGCTCTCACCCTGTCTGGGCGTTCCATCAAGCGTCCATCGCCTCGTCATTCGACAGTTGGCCATTTCCACCAGCAGTCGTCTCTGGAGCATCATCTTGGCTCCCAGAAACATCACATGTACGAGAATAAGGCTATGACGGTGCGGCTCTGGAAGCCCGGTCCCGTGGCCCGGGGGGACGAGCGCATCCAGTCTCATTGAATCGGGTAGTTTCTCCTGCCACTCACCTAATATCCTTGAATGCTTCTCAACTACGGAAAACACTGCTGAGGTCGGCTTGTCGACATCCTGCATGATCCCTGCCACCATCAAACCAATCGTACATACTTCAGCTTGGATGCGGTTCTCGGTTCTCGGTTGGGCTTCGATAATCTCTTGGCTCGCAAGCTGGCAATGGCTTAGCTATTGATTTTTCTCTCTCTTTCTCTCCATTTCATAAGGAAGATTCCGTCAAAACTCGCAAAACCAAACTCACCTCGGCCTCCTCGTGGCTGAGATCAGGCTGGTATCCGAGGGTCGAAGCAAGCCAGCTATACGAGGTTAGTGTGGACTAGGGGGAAAAAAATTACGACCAACACAGATCTCACTCACCACTCCATAAAGACAAGCGATCGGTAGACTTTCCGGTAGGCGACCCAGGGCAAGATATCTTGCTGCTGCAGACGTGCCCAACGTGCCAGTCTCAATCCAGAAGCTTCAGCCAATATCAGCCGTCCCAGATCCCGGAAATTCCCGGATTAGGCCTTACCGATCGATAAACGAGCGCTCGTGCGCTTGGTCAAAGATGAAACGATGCCGAGACACAGAAGCACCCTCATGCCTCGCAGAAACTGTGACTCGATACAGTCACTCATATAAATCGTGGCGGTCTGGAACAAGGCGTCCAAGACCGGTCCGTCCAACTTGTCGCCATCATAGTGGCTCCCGACTGCGGCCGCGGCGCAGAGTTCGCATAGGGTCGCATTGTCGACGGCTTCGTGGGTTCGGTATACCCTGTTCAGGAGGTCGTCCATCTCTTGTTTTTCGTAGATATAGAATAATGTATAGGTGCTGCTAAAGAATGCTCTGATGCCGTACTGTATCAGGTGTTCCGGTGGAAGGTCGTGGACCGTGTAGACGCGTGCAGCCTGATGATAGATTAGCGCGCCGGACCTGGACAAAAATTTCAGCTTCAAGGACAGCCTTTGTTGCTCACAGCCTGCACCTCTGACCATAAAAAGAGAAACACCCTGTCCCAGAGGCCCCAGAGAGAACCCCCTTGTGAACGAAGGCACATTCCCGCTTACCGGAGCATTGAATTCCCCCTCCCTCTCCCGTGCCTGCGTCCATTCAGCCAACCCCTCACTGCCCAGAGATTGAGGTGGGTTAGTCCTCATCCTCCTCAGCAGGTCGTACGCCTCCTCCTCGGATCGCTGCGTCAGAACGTTGATAATGTTTTCGACCTTCCGGACTCGCTCTTGCAGAGCGTCCGTCTCGTTCGCCCTCAGCTTGCCTCTCCGGCGGTCGACATCGGAGTAGACACATAGCGTTCCTCGCGCTACGCAGGCTGAGCAGGTGGGATGGGCGTTGTCACACTTGAAAAGCAGGGGTCAACAGTTCATGTCCTTTTTTTTTTTTCCTTTCATCAACAGGTTGGGCAAACCTTGGAGCGCTTGGCACGGCATGGCTGGCATGCCTGAGTGACATATTTTCTAGCCTCGGGCGACGTGACGTCCCCGGAGCCCGAAGGCTGAGCGACTGAGGGCTGCGACGATGTCGATGCTTCGGAGACGTTGGAGGGGGACAGGCCGGTCCTCTGTGACATAGTGGTAACGTATACTGGAGGCGCTCTGGACGACGCGTAGCCAGGGGGTTTGGGGGGTTTTTTTTTGGCGGGGGGTGGTGAGGGTTGTTTGGGATAGAGAAATTGAACACGGACCTGAACCGACAAGGGCCGTGGCACCACCTCTTCTCAAGGAATTGGAATTACTAGGCCGTCACACCGTGGTCAAGGTTTGGCCCGTACCCATTCCGCAAGAGAAGCAGTCCATCCCTGCCCGGCATCAGGTCCACTGGCCAAAGCCTTCCGAACAAGGGACGTTCCAGCCTGAAGAGAAGTGTAAATTTTGATTTGCCTACCGTTCAGCTGGGACAGACTTGGTAGATAGGGTCGCCTTGGTGTGCTTGGTGTGGATCTCGTCTGTGGAGGGGTCGGGTTCTTTTCGGGAGCGGGGATGGCCGCCCCTTGGGATCGCTTATAGCCTTCTAACTTTGCTAGCGCGCCAAGTGACCAATTATCGGGGAGAATCTCTCTCGCTACCACCACGCTAGACAAACGTTCGGTATAATTCATTACGAGTCAGGGCCGCTAGCCACGACATCCTTGTACGGATACGACGGACACGATGCACTAACTCTAAATTTGTGCGTGACCAAAATTTCTCTCTAAATTTCATACCTCGCTGCACCCCAACCCCAAATAAAGAAAAACCTCCTCCCTCCCAAAGCAATGGGCGTGGGACGCCGCATGAGAAAGCAGGGTCCCCCAGCGACTCTGGAGGAATTGGGCCTCAATCTGAAGCGTAAATCCGCCAGCGAAGAGCCCAACAAACCCGCCCGGAAAAGGAGGAAGTCGGAGGAGAAACCGCAGCTGACTGCAAATGCCTCAAAGAAACTCGTCAACCTGGACCGAGCCTCTCGGAATGACCCTCCTCCTCCTCCTACGGTGTCAGCGAAGACAGGTGCACGGAAAAAAGTCAAACTGGTAAACAACGATGCGCAAATTACTGTGCCGCCTCCGATACCTGCTGGTACCTTCGAGGGAATTGATGGGGACGAAGAGGACGAGGGCGAGGAGAGCGATCTCAATGCCACAGAGGTCGCCCTAAACACTGTCTCGTTGTCAGACCTGGAAGATGAGGACGAAGATGAAGATGACGATGACGAACTGGCACAAGCAGATCTCGATGGGGAAATCTCTGACGACTCCGTCTTCGACTCAGATCAAGAAGAACAACCGCACCGCATGTTCTCCGAGGACGAGGATGAGTCTGATGCCGAGGCCAAGCTCACCGCTGCCAACATCGAAGGTCTTTCGCGAAAGCTCGACCAACAACAGGCGCAGGAGGATGCAGAAGCTCAGCAGGAGCTGGAAGATGCGGCCCTCCAAACGAATATTGCCAAAGACGAAGGCGTACTCGACTCCGCCACCGCACAAGGTCTAGCGCCCGACCTATCCATCATTCGCACAAGGATGACTGAGACGATACGAGTCTTGGGCAACTTCTCACAGCTTGCGGACAAATCGAAGTCGCGAACCGACTATACCGAACAGCTGCTCGCCGACATCTGTACATACTACGGCTACACCCCTTTCCTCGCCGAGAAGCTGTTTTCGCTTTTCACCCCAGCGGAAGCATTCGCCTTTTTCGAGGCCAACGAAACCCCCCGCCCCGTCGTCCTCCGTACAAACACCCTCCGCACTAATCGCCGCACCCTTGCTCAAGCATTGATTAATCGAGGCGTCGTCCTGGAGCCCGTCGGAAAATGGTCAAAGGTCGGCCTCCAAGTTTTTGAGGCTCCCGTCCCGCTGGGTGCAACACCAGAGTACCTTGCCGGACACTATATCCTCCAAGCTGCGTCCTCATTCCTTCCCGTTATGGCCCTCGCCCCGCAACCGAATGAACGAATCCTGGACATGGCTGCCGCGCCCGGTGGAAAGACGACCTATATCTCGGCCTTGATGCGAAATACCGGTGTGGTGTTTGCTAACGATGCCAACCGCCAGCGAGCCAAAGGTCTCATTGGTAACATCCACCGGCTTGGATGCAAGAACACCATTGTCTGCAACTACGATGCGCAAAAAGCCTTCCCCAAAATCCTCGGTGGTTTCGACCGTGTGCTTCTGGACGCCCCCTGCTCCGGCACCGGGGTCATTGGCAAAGACCCCAGCGTGAAGACATCCAAAAACGAACGCGATTTCCTGGCCCTGCCGCACCTGCAGAAACAACTCCTCCTGGCAGCCATCGACTCGACCGACCACGCCAGCAAGACGGGCGGGTACATTGTCTACTCGACGTGCTCGGTCACGGTGGAAGAGAACGAAGGGGTCGTGCAGTACATCCTGCGCAAGCGACCCAACGTCAAGATCGTCGACACCGGATTGGGGAGTTTCGGCTCCGAGGGGTTCAAGAGCTACATGAACAAAAAGTTCGACGACCGCATGAACTTGACACGACGGTACTTCCCCCACCGGGAGAACGTGGACGGGTTTTTCGTGTGCAAGCTGAAGAAGACGGGGCCGACGCCAAAGAACGTGCCGGGACAACAGACCAACAGGGCGGTGGATGGACGAGAGTCACGGTCCTCCGTTGCCGTCAATGGAGACAGAGATGGAGACAGAGACCATGCCTCGGAATCGAACGGCGCAGTGAACGCCGGCGCCGCATCGGACGATGATTTCGGCGGCTTCAACGACGACGAAGACAGAGAGCTCATTGAGCGGGCCGAGAAAAAGTGGCTCAAGGCCAGAGGACTCGATCCCAGGGTGGCGGATCGCAAGAAGCAGGGCGAGGACAAGCAGGATCCTCCTAAAAAGAATCGGGTCGTCATCGGCGGTAGCGTCGAGACCAAACAGAGCAGTAAAAAGTCGAAGGGAAAGGGGGTCAAGGCGAAGAAGTAAATAGCAAGCAGATCCCGCCTCAAAAAAGTCAGTCGATTTCATGTGCTTGTGACAATATAAAGTATGCATTGACTGCTATGAAAAGCCATAATAACCTGCCTGCCATGCCGCCAATATTCTAGCCGCATGTGCACTCTTCTTTCTCCCCTGTGAGCCCACATCCAAACGACGTCCATGCCGGATGGACTCTGGTAGTAGAATGGTTTCTTCAATGGGGTCGCGGGAGACGATAGCTCATGTGTCGTCAAACAGAGCCTCACTGCCGTTCACTACTCTTGATCCACTCGGTCCACTAGAATTAGACAAGCCGCAGTCAGCCAGGATCACAGAGGCGGAGAATTGAGGCCAAGGGGCAAATATTGCAAGGAGTCTACATCTTCGCCATCTGTCTGCGAACGCCAGTAATAATATGGCAACGACGAAAAAAGGGGATTTGGACTCACAGTTTGTCAACTTCCAAATAACGCCACCCGCTATTGCCGTTGACGCTACGATCACGAATATTGCGGTGCACACCATGCGTAAGAGGATTCTGTGGCGAAAGACGATTGTCTGCCATGACTTTGAGGAGGGCTGGTCGTCCCAGTCGTGGTGGGACCCCGGCTGAGAAGCATGCGATATGTCCAGGCGTGGCTGTGCCGAGTCCGCCGTGGCAGACTCAGACTTCAAGGGCGAAGAGATTGAGAATGGACAATCGCGCGGGCTTGATGTGGTGGCGACGGGCAGGCAACTCTTGACCGGTCCACCAGGATCTTGAGACTCTGGATACTGGCACTGGTGGATCGCGCGCTCGAAGCTGTCCATCTCCCTTACTCTATTTGGCGTAAAAGCGCAACATTTCCCGACGCCCAAAACAGAGGAATTGGTTGCTGGAAGGTTCTGGTCCTGACATTTTAGACGGACAGGAGGCTGATCGGGGATAGCGCAGACATCGGAGCAATCTTTCGTGGCCACGCAGGACTGTGCAGCAGAGGAACGGAGGTCTTGACAGGGACATAACGCCGCGTCACAAGGAGATGCCTGTGTCCCCCCTCCGCTGGGCGATATCAATGAGGACCTCAAATGCTCTGGAAGCGACTTAAAGACGTCGTCTGAAAACCGGTCGAGTCGAGAACAATGGCTGGGGGCCGGCAGGCGGCACGCGCTGGGAGGAGGAATCGCGAGGGGTGAAAGGATAATTGTTGGGCGGATGTTGGTTAGAGAAGTCTTTGGCCTCGGCGGCCGCGGAGGAGGTGAGCGTGGGAATCGAGCTTGAGGAGATGCGGGCACCGAGGACTCAGAAAGCGAAGGCCGTTCTTGCGAAGTCTGTGAAGTATGGTTCGAGGTACGTTTGGGATACTGCGCAGTTGATGCAGACATCACTTCGACAAGGCTCTGGGCGAAGTTTGCGCGAAATAGGGGAATGACCGGTCGGTACCTGGTTCAACTCGATGTACTGCTGGGTACTTCCTGATGATTAGAAGCATTTTGAAGGAACAAAACCTGTGCAGGTAGAGGAAGAGTAGACGGGGGACATCTGCCCCCCATCTTGATAGGATGAATGGGCATCACGGAACGCAACAGCAAGCGAAGAATGTGCGACAACTTCGCAATGAGAGGACGAGATAGCCAGAGAACCAAGAGCAATCGGACGGTAACACAGCATCAAACCTTTGCTGACTTCAGATTGGTGCCACGAAGTCAACGGCAAGCCGCATGGCCGGTGTCGATCTCGACTGGCAGCTGGCGGGCCGAGAGATGGGCTTGCAGAAGTCGTGGAAGGGCTTCCCTTCCTTCGCTGGGGTTGCTTGATGGGTGTGTTTCAATTTGTCTTGGTCCCGCAGCCTGATCTAAGGCTGGGTGGTTGCAGAGCATCGATGATTGTCTTGCAAAGCACGATTCCGCCCCAATGACCAAGATTGTACACCTGATTTGATTTTCCTTGCAGTAGATGTCACCGACTCTGTGAGGACGGCATCGTTGAGACTGACAACCTGACTTGTGTGGTTATGAGTTTGCACCTCGTCGCTTCTGTCGACTTCCTAATCCGATCTTTTCTCTGAGAGCGTACCGTTCAAAGACGAGCGGTGGCCAATCATTTGTTTGTACCGTATATGCAGCATCGTGATGGATTACGAGAGACAGGTCAAGCATGATGATGGAGGTGAATATAATCTGATCTGCTTCGCTCTCATCGGAAGCAATTGCTGGAGGGAAGACAGATCAGCCCACATCATGGAGGAACAGCGGAGCATTCCGTCCTGGTTAATAATGGTTCGTGGTGCGATCGGGTATGTCAGAGGCGCGTACTAGACAGTCACACCACAGAAAGACCAGAGCTTTGAGCATTTGTGCGCGTCGACAATATCAGAACGAGGTGTGGATGGGTAGACGAAGAAGTGAGTGCGCGTCCCGAAACTGGAAGCCGACGGGGCGGCGTTGAGCACCTGACGGCACAGTCTGCTTCCGAAGTTCAAACGGCGAGGTGCACTAGCCGCATTTGCACAACTAGCGCAGCTGATCTAACCAGTCTCGGCTCTAGCTATCTGGGTTTAGTGGTTAGAAGCAACAGTCCAGGCGGCGCGAGATCCGATGCAGGAAGTGTTCGGGGCGGGGTATTGCGGGATGAGCTCGACACCTTCGCGCGAACCTTCGTACACGGTTCCGTATGGATCCTTTGGCCTCAGCCTGCGAGTTGTCTGGGGTGTGGACTAGGGTTATGGTTCTCCCCGTCCTGAAGCCGATGGTGGCTTTCCACGAAACAAGTCATTGCAATTGCCAATCCTATTTGAATCAGACAGTTCCTCTCTTTTGCACAGAGCATCCTGTCTACTTTCCTCTCGCACAAACTTCAAGCCCGCCAAATTCACCGTCAGTGACGCATTGCTTCTACTGTCGCGTTCTAGTGCAAGTCCTCCGGGCCACCTGAATCCAACCATCGAATCAAAACTTGTCCAACATGAACGGCAACAACAAATCAGGCGCTGCGCGCTTTGATCCCACCTTCACCCGGAATGTTATCAATGCCATGGGTCCCAAGACTTCCCCTCGGATGCGGGAAGTCATGACCAGCTTGATCACACACCTTCACGACTTTGCTCGCGAGATTGAGTTGACAGTGGAAGAGTGGGATGAGGGTGTTCGTTTGATCAACTGGGCCGGCCAGATGAGCAATGACAGACGGAATGAAGGTCAACTGGTGTGCGATGTTGTCGGCTTGGAAACGTAGGTGAAAACTGAAAAGGGTATGCAAGGGCCTATGCTGACTGTACAGACTCGTGGATGAAATCACATACAAGAAGGCAGCCGAAGCCGCCGATCTGGCCACTCAGAGTGCTATACTTGGTCCCTTCTTCCAGACTGACCACACGATCCGCAAGAAGGGCGACAGCATCTCCACCAATACTCCGCAGGATGCCGAAGTTGTGTATTTGTACGGCCAAGTTGTGGATGCCATTACCAACAAGCCCTTGAGGAATGCTTCAGTCGATGTTTGGCAAGCATCCACAAACGGTCGGTCTAAACAATCCCATGTGGTGAGCAAGGGAGTGCTGACGTGGAGCCTTGCAGGGTTGTACGAACAACAGGATGAGAACCAACCAAAGTCGAACCTATGCGGCAAGTTCTACACGGATGAGAACGGAGAGTACGGCTTCTATTGCTTGAGACCAACCCCTTACCCGATCCCGTACGATGGACCAGCGGGTAAACTGCTCCAATTGCTTGACAGACACCCCTACAGACCAGCCCACATCCATTTCATCGTGAGTATTGAAGCCCCGTGCCTCCAGAGATCAGAAAGTGACAGTCGCGCAGGTGTTGGCCGAGGGCTACAAGCCCATCACGACCCAGATTTTCGACAAGGAGAGCAAGTATCTCGACGATGATTCTGTCTTTGCGGTCAAGGACTCCTTGATTGTCGAGTTCGTACCCCGACAAGGTGACGCGCAGGCCCAAAAGGAATTGAGATATGACATTAAGATGGCTCCGCTGTCCTCTAAGGGAGAATCCGGCGAAGCGCTAGTGACCGAAGGCATGGGTCGCGGTTTTTAAGGATCACAACGGAGCTGCTGATTATGTTGATGTAGGATGTACAAGCTGTGTATGGGGTATATGACCTGGACGAGAAGAGCCCTTAATCCCAAGCTTATGAGTACTTGGTGGATGCAAACTTGTGTGTTTTGATATGTAGCGGCGCTCCAGCCACTGAAATCAGCCATTGGCGCCAACGAGCCGGACAAATCACCCCTGCTCGAATACGAGTTCCCGAGTATTATATACTCGGTTGAACATCCCGCCTTTAACTATACACCATGCATGATTGGGCCGCTTCCCCGCGCCCCCACTGAGAAATCTGGGCACGGAGAACCACCAAATTTAGGGGAGTCACGGGCTGTCTCAGCTCCATTATTCATCGCCCCCCCCTCTCTCTCTCCAACTTTTCTTCCCTGCCCGCTTCCGACGGTTCCCAGCAGATGACCGCAACCTCAGATTTCCAAAAACAAACTCCACCTCCTCACGAAAAGGTGCTATATCCGAGTTTTTCTGACCTGGCACCCATCCAAAAAAACCCGGAAAGTGAACCCCGTGAGTGAGTCATCGATACACCGCCCGTCACAAGGCTACGAGGCTGATGATCAGACGAACTCTGAGTGGTCGCATGCCTCATGCCTCGTCCGCGCGTCAAGGACGAAGACCGGAAACGCGTGGCGCGGGCCTGCGACACTTGCAAGCGCAGAAAGGAGAAATGTGACGGACAACAACCTTGCCTGCTCTGCAAGCGCCGTTGTCGCGAGTCTGAATGCATCTTCACCGAGGCCTACTCCAAACGAGGCTCACAGCGTCAGGGCAGTACCGCGTCATCTCATCCCATCACCCTCAAGGATGCCTTGAACGAGTCCAATGATGCCGAGATCGCCATCGAGTCGCTCCTCACGCTGTCCGGGTCGAGAAGCGCTCCAAAATCTCCCCAGTACGACAAGGATCCGGATGCACTCGTGTCGAGAGCCCCTGTGCCCAAGCTGGCCAGACTGCTCCGCGATGGTCGCGGCAAGTTCATCTTCGTCGGCGACTCGAGCAACCTGGCGTTTGTCCAGAACATTCGCCGCTTGGTCAAGGCAGAGATTGGAGAGTGTCAACTGACCTCAGACCCGCTACGACATGCCATGTGCGAGGTCATTCCACCTCCCAAGGCGCCGACGCCGGCGCAGTCGCAACACCCGAAGCCTAGCTTGGCTGAGGCCCAGGACCTGATCAAACATTATCTGCTGGCGTCGAGCGGCGTGATTGACCTCTTCGACCCTGACGATATCACCCACCATCTGTGTGCATGGACGAGCGACCCATCCGCCGAGACGGATTTCAACAGTTCCATATATTATCTAGTCATGGCTATCGGCGCCTTGACGCGCGACGCCGAGGACCTGGACCAGGCAGAATTCTACTTTTCCCGTGGTCGAGAGATCGGAGTCTCGAGTTTCTTGGAGGATCCCAGTGTCCTGACCATCCAGGCCTACGCCTTGATCACCTTCTACATGTTGTCCGCCGTGAGAAGAAACGGCGCATTCATGCTGCTAGGCATTGCCGTCCGAGCCGCGTATGCTCTAGGGTTGCACAGAAGCGACATATCAAACTTGTTCGAACCGAGAGAAAGGCTCGCGCGCGAGCGAGTGTGGAAGAGTCTGCGCGTCCTCGACCTCTACATGAGCGGCTCACTCGGCCGACCGCCAGCGACATCCGAAGTAGACGGTGGAAGTGTGTCTTGGAACCGCTCCACCAGAGACTACGAAGATATCCAGATGAACGGACGCAACACCTCGGCGACGTTGAGGATATGTTTTATCTTTGAGCGGATATTGAACGAGGTCTATTGTCGTCGGGAAGTATCTGTTCAGCTTGTGGAAAGCATCTCCCGGCAATATCGAGACTGGACCATGCAGTTGCCGGCAGGTCTGCAAGCCGACAGTTTGGACCAGAAGAGTGGCTCTACTTCCCCGACACTGCGACAGACAATCGGCATCGCCCATTTGAAGGGCGCTTATTATTGGTCGATTATTCTCTTGACCAGACCATTTCTGATCTTCAAGGTGTCCTCGAAGATCAAAGGCCGTTCCGAGGATGACGACGGCGCCGGAAACTCGGTGACAATGACTCTGAGTGAGGCCTGTATTGATGCTGCGTTGAGGAGCATCGAGATTGCGACCGATATTGTTCATACCCCGGGAGTACCCAAGCGACTGTTCATGATTACCAACAGCACATTTATATCGGCTATGGTGATCGGCTTTGCCATCTTTGGCGACTTCGATAAGACGTTCCCGTTGCTCAGCAGCATTGCCCAAGCGGAGGCTATCTTGACAATCATGGCAAAGGATGACATGTCGGCCCGACGACACTTTGAGATCACCAGCTATCTGCGCCTGGCAGCGATTGAGCACATTCGACGGCGAGACCAAATGCAAATGCAGAGGCGCCGACAAGACATCCACAACATTTTTGGTGATCCTATCAACAAGACAAACGGTGCAGGTTCAAGCAAAGCGACTACCGGCAACCACACACCCAGTCAGATTTCGGCCTCAGAAATCGCTCAGACCAACGATGGCACAACGGCGCTGTTTGATGCCGCAGAGGAATCTGGTGACGCCGCGCCACCGTGGCAGCTGCGGTTCGACATGCCGCCAGAGAGTCGCGGCCCTGTGCTGACCACCTCTGGAGTATTGGCGTATAATGGGGAGGAGGCTACTGATGCCATCCCACCTCTGCCACGCACCGATTTCGGACAGATGCCAGAAGCAGATTACCTCTCACCAGATGGGTCCGGTATACCAAGTCTACCATCATACACTGAAGAGTTCCCACTCTTCTCGTTAATGACGGACTTCGATCAGCTGCAGGATCCTTTCTCGATGGTTAGGCCATGACCAGCATCAGTCAAGTTTGTTTTGCTTTTAATTGAACCTGGTGTGTTACAGAGCTGGCCAAGAGCTTTGGAATCCAGGTTGAAAGGAACCATGCGCCCACTGCGATCACGAGGAGATATAGTCCCGTGGGAGCAAGTGACTGGGGCAAGACGTTGAGGATGTATGGGTCTAAGATTATGTCGACGGCCACGGGAGGCACGACCTCCATGATTGTCTGGTTCAGGCTGAAATAGTCTGCAGCAGCGAGTACCTGGAGGAACAAGAAAGTTGACCCGACATCGCTTGTGCTGGCCTCGGCTTTCCGTTGCAGGAGGCTCCGACTATCTTCGGAGCCAAGCTGTGCATGCCGTGCATAAGCGTAGTCACTCAGTGAGGCCAGGAGGTTGGGCGTTGCGAAGGCATGATCCAGAGAATGCGTATAGAGCCAGAAGGATGTAGGTTGCTGGGGAGAGTCAGCCACGTTCACTACCAGGAAGGGCATCCTCCTACAGTTGCCAACCAACATATTCGAAGCTCATACCGTCTTCCGGGGCGCAGACCTTCGAGTAAGAACCAGCTCTCAATTCCCTTTGGGAAGTCTGTACTTGGGAAGCTCGCATTGATGTGAGTTCTAACACTTGGATATTGTTCCGACAGGCGTGTCAGAAACAGATTGTCAATACTCGCATCTTGGGGTAGATTGTCAGCCGCAGGAGCAAGGAAAATGACCTTCTCCACATTGGCGAAGGCACAGTAAGGCCATAGAAGCCAGACGATGAGAAATGTATAAGCCATTGTGTTGAGAAAATAGGAGTGAAGGATGATGTCGGTGGTTTGTCGTGAATGGCGCAGTTGATTAACCCTTCCGCAGCGGCCACTTGATTGGCTGTGACGCGAACAGGTGGAGTCACTAGAGACAGCCGTTGTGATTGGCTTCACGGGGCAGGGGACAGGCGGTGAAAGAAAGAGCGCGCTGTCAACAATTGGAAGCCACCCCACAATTGCAAACCACCACTGCACCCACTGCACCCTCTCTCCCCCATCAACAATTGATTCTTCCAATCCTTTGCTTGTCCGTCGACTTGTCTTGCATCTATCCATCTCACATCTTCTCCTTCATCTCCTCCTCATCCCTCTCCGGAACCCTTTCACCATGAGAGAAGTCATCAGCTTGAACGGTACGTGACGATCCAAACACGCGTCCCTGACCGACCCTTTTGGAAAGCCCCTGTACTAGAGAATTTGTGACTACAAGCTGACCTGCATTTGCAAATTGTAGTTGGCCAGGCTGGCTGTCAAATTGCCAACTCATGCTGGGAGGTAAACAATCTTCCTTATCAAAAGACATCGGCTCAGACAATTACTGATGGTTGCAGCTGTACTGCCTCGAGCATGGAATCCAAGTGGGTGGTGCACCGTTGTCGTTGGCTCCAACCACAAATTGACCTGAACCAGCCCGATGGATACCTTACCGAAGAACGCAAAGCCGCTGATCCAGACCAAGGCTTCAGCACCTTTTTCTCCGAGACGGGTACGGTATCGGAAATCATCCCTATCTCTTCGTTGCTGATTGAGTTTTGCACAGGCAACGGCAAATATGTCCCCCGAACCATCTACTGTGACCTTGAACCCAACGTCGTCGACGAGGTTCGGACTGGCGCCTATCGCAGCCTTTTCCACCCTGAGCAGATGATCACTGGGAAAGAGGATGCTTCAAACAACTATGCCCGAGGACACTACACCGTCGGCAAGGAGCTGATCGATCAAGTGCTGGACAAAGTTCGCCGTGTGGCCGATAACTGCAGTGGCCTTCAGGGTTTCCTCGTGTTCCATTCGTTCGGCGGCGGTACCGGCTCCGGGTTCGGTGCCTTGCTTATGGAACGTCTCTCGGTTGACTATGGCAAAAAGTGCAAGTTGGAGTTCTGCGTCTATCCAGCTCCTCAAGTCGCCACCTCCGTGGTCGAGCCATACAATTCGATCCTCACGACGCACACAACTCTCGAGCATTCTGATTGCAGTTTCATGGTAGACAATGAAGCCATCTACGACATTTGCAGACGCAATCTAGGAATCGAGCGACCCAACTACGAAAATCTGAACAGACTGATCGCCCAAGGTGGGTATCACTCCTCCATTTGGTAAGATCCAGCT